GTGTGTGTGTGTGTGTGTGTGTGTGTGTGTGAGAGAGAGAGAGAGAGAGAGAGAGAGAGAGAGAGAGAGAGAGAGAGAGAGAGAGAGAGAGGTTGTGTGCATGTTTGTATGGTGGGTAGCGTACATGTGATGGGTTTGGACACGGGCATGCGTGCATGACTTTCAGGCAGAATGGGTCTCTTCTGCCCTTGTGTTCTGTTTGGCAGGAATATGGAGAGGATGAACCACACACCGTGGACAGGGCCTTGCATCTGCCATGCCATCTGTGTTGAAGGAGGAGCTGCGACCGCAATTGGAGCACTTATATACTTCCACTTCCAGCAGCTTGTGGTTCCCTTCATCTTCTGGTGGCTTTGTGGTCTCTACATGGCAGGACCACGCAGCGAGATACAGAGAAAATATCGGTTAGAGGTGAGCAGTCGTCAATGTCAAAAAAGTAATCCTTTGCTGCTATGTTTGTGCTAAGTTAATCAGCATGAACCCTGCCAGTTTGCCGGCCAGATCCATGCCTTCTGAGCGCGCCCATAGCACCAGTTAGAGGTGAGCAGTCTGAAATGTCATAATGGCAAATCCTTTGCCTATAGTGTGGTCTATTGGTGCACTTCGCATTGCTATTGGACAGATCCCACTAAGAGATTTGCCTCATGCGCTGCCATGTTCCTCCCAAGTTAGTTAGCATGATTAAAAAAAAAAAAAAAAAAAAAAAAAAAAAAAAAAAAAAAAAAAAAAAAAAAAAAAAAAGAAAGTTAGCATGAACCTGGCCGGTTGGAGGGGGTTCGCTGCTATGTTTGTGCTGAGTCAGTTATAGCATGAACCTAGCCAGTTTGACGGCTAGATTCATGCCTTCTGAGCATGGCCATAGCACAGGGGGTTCGCTGCTATGTTTGTGCGGAGTCAGTCAGCATGAACCTAGCCGGTTTGATGGGTAGATTCATGCCATTGAAGCATGGCCATAGCACCAGTTAGAGGTGAGCAGTCGTTTGCATCATTCGCTGCTATGTTTGTGCTATAAGCTAGTTAGAGTGAACCTGGCCAGATTGACACGATTCGCTGCTAAGTTTGTGCTGATGCTGAGTCAGTTACCATGAACCTAGCCAGTTTGACGGCTAGATTCATGCCTCCGGAGCACAGCCATAACATAGTCAGAGGTGACAAGTCAGCAATGTCAACAGGGTGATCCTTGAACACCAGCGCTGGGCTAATTGTTCAGGACCAACTTGTGCTATGTTTGTCTTAAGTTAGCATGAATCGGGTCAGTTTGGCGACCAGATTCATGCCTGTAGCACCGGTTTTCCCTGAACCTAAGTCCTCTGCCACCTATGCCTGTAGTGTGGTCTACTGTGATGTTTCGCCTCACTATGGACCAGATTCATTCCTTCTGAGCACAGACATAGCACTACGTACCCCTGGCTCTAAACCCGCCAGTACACGGCCCCAGCCTTGTGGATTTTTTTTTTTTTTTTTTTTAAGTTGTGGAGATTTGTTTGTCGCCTACTCTGAAAATTTCGACAAAAACAAAAACGAAAACGAAAACGAAAACGAAAACGAAAATTCTGCGCCTCTGGCCAATGGACCACACTGGCTGCTGGCGCCAGCTGAGAAAAGAAAAAATGTGCGCCGCTGGCAGCTCCGAAAAGCTTGGCTCGCAGTGCAGCGCCTCCAGGCCCGGGTGTACCGGTGGTTTTAAGTCCTGTGTCACCTTTGTGCCTATAATGTGGCTTAGCGTGATGTGTCGCATTGCTAGTGGACAGATTGAGAGCAAGAGCTTTGCCTCATTTGCTGCTATGTTTGTGCTGAGGTCATTAGCATGAACCCAGCCAGTTTGACAGCCAGATTCATGCCCTGTGAGCATGGACATAGCACTAATAGTTACCCCTGCCCTGGTCCTTAGCCCTGTGCCACCTTTGCCTATAGTGTGGTCGACTTCGATGTCTCACGTCGCCGATGGACAGATCGAGCAAAATGTTTGCCTCGTTTGCTACTGAACGACACATGCTCGTACCCACACATGGGAAGTGTCAGGGCTTGCCACCGTCCTCACCTGAATAGAATGTGTTCGTCATTTCATAGCTGCTGCATCGAGACTGGAAGTTGCCCCAAATACAGCTATAATGATCATGCGTTCTATTGGGTTGAAGACGAGGTTGCTACCGTCGTCACCGGAATAGAACCCTTAGCCATTCTAGCTGCATCTAGACCGGAAATTGCCCCAACTATGGATATAAATGACCAGCCGTTTTACTCGGGTGAAGACGGAGCTTGCTACCATCTTCAAGGTGGAGAATGTCATGTGCTCAGAGATGGAGTCCCTCTTAGCACGTGACATTGCGTCCAATTGGTTCCAACCCATGGGTTGGAACCAGGGTTGGGACCAAACCAAGGTTGGAACCAGGGTTAGAACCAAACCAGGGTTGGAACCAGGGTTGGAACCAGGGTTGGGACCAAACCAGGGTGGGAACCAGTGTTAGAACCAAACCAGGGTTGGAACCAGGGTTAGAACCAAACCAGGGTTGGAACCAAACCATAATTGGAACCAGGGTTGGGACCAAACCAGGTTGGAACCAGGATTGGAACCAGGGTTGGGACCAAAGCAGGTTGGAACCAGGATTGGAACGAGGGTTGGGACCAAANTGGAACGAGGGTTGGGACCAAACCAGGTTGGAACCAGGATTGGAACCAGGGTTGGGACCAAAGCAGGTTGGAACCAGGATTGGAACCAGGGTTGGAACCAGGGTTAGAACCAAACCAGGGTTGGAACCAAACCAGGATTGGAACCAGGGTTGGAACCAGTTACTATCCGAGTTATATCAGGGTGGAGTTCCACTGTTCCAGGTCCATGGGTTGGGACCATTGGAACCAGTTACTATCCGAGTTATATCAGGGTGGAGTTCCACTGTTCCAGGTCCATGGGTTGGGACCATTGTGATAGGAATCCCTGAGCGCGCTGAACAACTCTTCGAGCCTTGTGAAGAATAACAAAATCATCGGTGTACCTGATAGAACGCCCGGTCATTATAGCTGCATCTGGAATGGAAGTTACCCCAAATACAGCTGTAATGACCGGGCGTTCTGTTCGGGTGAAGGCGGTTGTCGAGTTGGTATCAAAGGATGCACTAAGTCGGAACGATGCGAAACTGCGGCCATGAGAGATTGACCCCTATGCCTCAGAATGTCGCTGAGGTAAGACCAATCTTTTGTGGGGACCACCACATGTCCTTCAGAATGATATAGTACTATAGCTAATCCCTTGATCTTATGACTCAATTACAGTACCTCTTTTTTTTTTTTTTTGCATATAGTTGTCATATATAGTGTAGTATTTTCTTTAGTAAAAAGCGAAAGAATAGTACACCAATTATGAGATGTAAATGTGACCGAACTCACATTAGGGGGTGGTGAAACTCCGGTGAAACTCACATTTGGGGGTGGTGAAACTCCGAACTCGTCTGTTGTCCTCTTCTCCCTCTCTCCCTACCGGGCAGCTCGCGTCAAACAGAGCTGCGCGGAAAACCGTAGGCAGAGAGGGAGGGAGAAAAGGACAACAAACGAGGGGCTGTGACAAACTGTTTCGTCAGAGTTTCACATGTATATATACATATGATATATATGTATATATCGACAAACAAAACTGCCTATGGTGAAGCATGGGCAGAGAGGGAGGGAGGGAGAAGAGGACAACAAACCACTGGCAGGGGCTTTGACAAAATGTGTCTTCAGAGTTTCACCTACCTACTCATCAGCAGGAGGCTGAACCCTCAAAAACAGTCTTCAGATTCCGCTAACTGATTACACTGTAAGTGATAATCCACCTTAACCCCGGTTGTGATTAAGCATCAACGACTGCTCAACAACTGAATACCTTGAGTTGGGCACCAACCACTGCCCTCAAGGTACCTATGATGAAAATCAAAGCAGACCCACACCAGATGGAAAACTCTACAGACTGTCGGTTCACACCCCATGACAAGCAACAAGCAAGCAAAACACCCACGAAACAAAGAAAGGTCTGTCACAGCCAAAAAATACACTCCAGACACGCCGCTGGCACTAGAGGCTATATATTTCTTTGTTTTGTGGATGTTTTGCTGGCTTGTGATGGGGTGTGAACCGACAGTCTGTAGAGTTTTCCATCTGGTGTGGGTGAGTGATAGTCTACTTTGATTTTGGTTAAGGTAGATTATCATTTACAGTGTAATCAGTGAGGGGATTCTGCAGACTGTTGAGGGTTCAGCCTCCTGATGAGTCGGTGAAACTCCGACGAAACAGTTTGTCACAGCCCCTCGTTTGTTGTCCTCTTCTCTCTCTCTGCCTATGGTTTACCGGGCAGTTCTGTTTGTGACGATATATATATATTGATCTTTTACTGCTCTTGTCTTAGCAGTTTAAGCACAGTCGTCAAGTCCTCGGTGTGCTTTTTCAGTCGAAGCACATTTGGGTTCGTATCGCTGTATCGAGACTGAAAGCTGCCCCAAATACGAGCGCTACTAAATTTAAGTATGTCACCTTATACCTAAAAAAAAGAAAGAAAGAAAAGGAACGTCATCTATAGCTAGAACAATTACACCCTTTCAGGCCTTCCGCCTAAAGTAGTGCTATGAAGTACTCGATTTATGGCATAATGGAATATTTCATCCCCCCCCCCAAAAAAAAAGAAAAAAAAAAAGGTTCTGAGCGCATCACGGAGCCCAAAATGTATGACTACAAATTTATCCTTTTAAATACAAGTTCGCCACGGAGCTAGACAATGATAAATTACTTTTTCACTACCGTCTTGACCCGAGTAGAATGCCCTGCCCGGTCATTATATCTGTATTTGGGGCAGCTTTCAGTCTCGATACAGGGATATTAACCGGGTGTTTTATTCGGGTGAAGGCGGTAGTCATGAAATACTCGTTTTGTGGCATGCAGGAAAGCTTCGGGCGCATCACAGAGCCCAAAAGGTATCACCACAAATAGTGTCCATATCTGCTATAAAAAATGAAATTCCTTTTTTTTTTTGTGTGGGGGGGGGTTTGGTTGGTTTTCACACGCTCCTTTATACTCTGGGGGACTGCGGTCTGGTTGCTTTTTTCTTTTTTTTTTTGTGTGTGTGTGTGTAGTCCAGTTGCTCTTTACCGGCCAGCAATGAAACAGACAATTCAGAGGGGAGAAAGAGAGAGAGGCTGAAATGCTGTTCTCATGAGGCTGATCCTCGGCGCTTGCATCTATTTGACAATAGCCAGATTTCGGATCTATCTATAATGTCTATAAGCGACGTACGTACATCCTTGCACATCCTTGCAGAACCTGTTAAACCGCTACTGTCTTCACCCGAATACAATGCCCGGTCATTACAGATGTACCTGGACTGAAGGTCTCTCCAAGTACAGCCATAATGACGGGGCGTTGTATTTGGGTGAAGACGGGTAGTA